TATCTGTGAAATGGGTCTTCTCGACCTGGGGCTGATGGGACCGGTGATCCATCCATCCAATTTAAATGGCGCAGAATCTCTTTTGGAGAGGGAGGGCAGGGAGTAATTTCTTCTTTTTTTGTTTGGATGTGACTTTATGGCATGTAACAAAAATAGTCACATTTTTTTTCATTACCTAGGGATAAAGCTTGGAAGGGTATTTGGAATCTTAATGTTCAAAGGCGGTGCATTCGAAAACAGTGGCCCAAATCCTGTTACTTTCATACATTGGCATAAATCGGATGGCGTAAATCACAATGGTGAATTGCCTCTAGTTAAGCCATCGACACTTGCATTCTTTGCTGTGTGCTGAGTTATGGGACTGGCGCGCAGTGAGGAATTTGAATGTTGGTTCCTTAATAATATGAACTGTGTGCCAGCAAGATGATTCCGTTTCATGGCGACCTTTTCAACGCTTTTCTAGGTAGCGAATACACAGAATTTTGTCCGCTCAACAGGCAGACTTAAGAGCAGTTCAAAGAACTAGGAATACATGCTCACTGTACAGTTGTGTCCCGCTTTACGATTACCCCGCATTAAGACGAATCCACTTCACGACAATGTTTTTGTGATTGCAAAACAATGGTCTAAATGGTGTTTTTTCGCTTTGCGAAGATTGCTTCGGGAACCGATTCTTCGCATTACAACGATCAAAACAGCTGATCGTTGGGTTTTCAAAATGGCTACCGGCTGCTTAAAATGGCTCCCCGCTGTGTTTAGGGATGGATTCCTCATTATACTGGCACCAAAAATGGCCGCTGAATGGAGGATCTTCGCTGGACAGTGAGTTTTTAGCCCATTGGAACGCATTGAACTGTTTTCAATGCATTTCAATGGGCTTTTTATTTTCGCTTTACGACGTTTTCGCTTAACAGCGATTTTCCTGGAACAGATTATCTCCGTTAAGCGAGGCACAACTGTACCTCCAATTAAGCCTTACGTTGGGCACCAATGTTGGACTTTGCAGAGAGAGCTTGGAGAAGTTCCTTTTTGCAACTACAGGTCCCAGAATGCCCCACTGCCCCCGCTGGATATGGGATTCTCGGAGTGATCGCGTCAAAAAGTAAAGTTTTCAAACTCTGTTTGCAGAATAAATCTTTTGGTTTTAAGAGTGGGTGTAAAATTCAGCCATGCTGATACTTGAGACTTTACCACCACAGACTTGGCACAAACATCTATCAACCATTCTTGGTCTCTTATCTACATTTCCCCCTCTACTATCCATGAGGGGGTGATGTCTAGCCTGATGAAGTGGAAATTTTCTGCATGAAAGCTTGCAGTTGATTTGATTTTTTTAGCGGTCCGATAAAAGGGATCACCTTTCCCAAGTTTTATTTGACTTCACCTTTCATGGACTTCAACCCGCTGGATGTAATAATCCACACATTGTGTAATTCAGAAAAGCTTATGGCAAATGAAACTTGTTCATTGTCAGACGATCACAGGATCCTGTTGCAAGGACAAATTGGGGAGTTACACAACTCACCCTCTGGCTATTTGTTAAAGGCAGCTCAGTACGTGCAGTGGGCACTTACAGCAATTCAGCTAATTTAGCAATAAGCAGTACAACTGGTTTTTCTCATGCCTGCATGATTTTTTTATTACTTTGAAGTAAAGTGGATGCTTCCCTTTAATTTTTTTTTAAACTAGGGTGCACTTTGTGGGGTTCTCATCTTCTTGGATTACAACTCCCATCTTCCAGTACCATTGGCTAGGTTGGCTCCAGGACTAATGAGAGTGGCAGATGAACAACACTTGAAGTGTATCCTGTTGTCTTTCTCTGCTTTAGTAGGTTGTGCTGACTGCCACTGGTGTCGTGTTTCAGAATTAAGGGGGTCCTAGATCACATCAAGCCTGAACAATCTCTGGAGGCAAAAATGTTGAAACTGCCCTTCTTTGGGCACAACCTGAGAAGAAAGGATTCTCAGGAAAAGACAGTACAGTGGTGCCTCGCTAGACGATGATAATCCGTTCCACTGAAATTGCTGTTTGGCAAAATCATCGTCTAGCGAAAAGCATTTCCCTATTGGAATGCATTGATACCTGTTTAATCAGTTCCAATGGGGAAGAATCGTCGTTGTCTAGCAAAGATCAGCCATAGGAAAGCCATTTTGTGAACCGCCGATCAGCTGTTTAAATAGCTGTCTTGCGAAGCTTAGGTCCTGAAAACACCTGTTTTGCGAGTGCGGAGGGAGCTGTCAAAATCGTCATCTAGAGAAAATCGGTTTGCGAAGCAGGGACCAAACATTGTCCAGCGAAATTCCCCCATAGGAATCACTGTTTTTCGAATCACTATAGCTATCGCAAAAAGTCAATGTCTAGTGAAAAAACTGTCATGCGGGTAACTGTCTAGCGAGGCACCACTGTAATGTCAGGAAAGTTGGAAGGCAGCAGGAAAAGAGGAAGACCCAATACGAGATATACTGACTCCCTTAAAGAAGCCACAGACTTGTGTGTTTACAAGAGCTGAGCAGGGCTGCTGAAGACAGGACATTTAGGAGATTGCACGTAACAACAACAGAATACTGTGATGTATATCTTTGGGTGCTGCTTTTAATGCAGAAATCTAAGCTTTCAACCTTATTTTTCTCAGTTTTTCATGAACTTCCCAGCCTGCAGGGAATATTCCACCCCACCCCCCTTCGGACCCGCCAACGGCTTTGTCGCAACGAGGCCCGGAGGCTGTTCAGCTGATGATGATCCCGTTTTGTTTATGAGCTTCCTGGCTTGCACGTTGACTGGGTGTAGCCCTAGCTGGCCAATGATGCTGGCAGGGTGCTCCTTCCGCTGAGTCATGCTTAGCGAGTGATCTTTCGTGAATGATAGTACAGAAAAAGAATGACTCGGACCAACTGACGGGGCTGGAATGTTATGCCGGATACTTATTGCCGGGAGAGGTCAAGTTTCAAGCCTGGTCTGGGAGGATTGTATACGGGTGTGCCAGCTGGAACAAAAATAAAGGATCCTTAAAGCCCTGCCAGATGCATGGATTGTGGGGCAGGAGGAGGTTTCTCCTGGAACATGATGCCAGATAAGAACTCCGTGGTTGGGTTGTTTGTTTGTTTGTTTGTTTGTTGCATTTATATGCCGCCCATCTAGACATAGTCTACTCTGGACGGCTCGCAACATACAAGATAAAAACAATATACTATTTTTCGCTCCATAAGACGCACCTTTCCATAAGACGCACCAATTTTTTAGGAGAAGAAAACAGGAAAATATAATCTGTTTTCTTCGCTCCATAAGACGCACAGACTTTCCACCCCCCTGTTTTGTGGGAAAAAAGTGTGTCTTATGGTGCAAAAAATACAGTATATATTCGTCGTCTAGTTGTTTAGTCGTGTCCGACTCTTCGTGACCCCATGGACCAGAGCACGCCAGGCCCTCCTGTCTTCCACTGCCTCCTGTAGTTGTGTCAATTTCATGTTGGTTGCTTCGCATACACTGTCCAGCCATCTCATCCTATGGTTTGTTGATTTAAATAATTAAAAAATCAGTTTTTAATTAATCCTGATTTAAATCAAATCCACTCTGCTTCCAGCCTGACAGTTCTATTATTTATGAATGATAAACGCCTTCTGAATACTCTCTTTCTAGAACGCCAAGAAAAGGGTTGCCATGATTTGACTTGATGGCACATTGTTTTTGTTGTTCTATGAGGCTGATGGTCATTGTAGTCAAAGAAGCCCAAGCTGAGAAAGTCTGACTTCCTTGTGCACCAAGAGCCTGCTCAAGAGGTGGAGCCACAAGCAGGGCGCGCTAGATTGCTTAGGGTGTAGGCGGGCATTGAGTTGCCCAAGGAAAGGAGGGACCACCATTTGCAAGAGGAGGAGAAAGTGCCTCCAGTGTACATTCATGCACAACGGGCACACTCGGTCGATGAGGACATCAGTGTTGGGGTTGGAGATGAGGGAACGGATTAGGAAACGGCACAATTAACATAATTAGGAATTGGGTTTGGCAAGAGGGGAAGAGCTGAGTGCAAATATAAAGAAGAAATGGAAGGGAGAAAAACTGTTCGGAGGCCTCAGTATGGGATGGCAAGAGATGTATTTGTATTTAAGCGACACAGACAAAAGCATGTTCTACTGTATTTTATTAATGGTCAAAGTGACTCTCAAAACACGACAGTTCTTTCTTCTATGTAATTAACCCTTCTTGGGTTTATATTATGTCTTAGAGTAATGGCAAGATTCTAGAGGAGAAGTACCAAGAATGTAATAGCTTTTTTGCCTCAAGGCAAAGATGCGAATTATGGTTCGTTTCTGTTTACGTTCTTTTTGCTTTATTACAAAGTTGCCCAGAGACCAAGAAGGGAAAAGGAAGAAGAAAAAAGCTTCAGATGCTTTGAGTCTTCTATTTTGGGCCCCTACAAATTCGTTCTGAAAGATGATTTCTCTCTGATCCAGTTTCTCACTTAAGGAAAAACAAACAAACCCAGCATTGTATTTATTCAAAATTTGACGTTTTTCCTGTGGTTTTTCCTGCTCTTCGACTCCGTGTTTTAGTTGTTGACCCGTGCATTGTATGCTGAAATTAGTTCACAAGGAAGAGCCGGGCTCACGTCTTTGTGAGGTGGGGGCCCCAAAGTCACGCCGGTGAGCTGGCATTTATGCCGAGAGCCGAGTACAATTCAGGCCTTTTTAAAAAGTCCCTGTTGCAAACCCTTTTAAGGTCTGCGTTACGAAAAAGAACGCGGAGAAGCTGTCGTCCCTTCCAGGGTCGTTCGGGGTGACCTGCTTTGGGCCTGGTTGTGTCGCTGTCATGGTTTCAACGTGGCTCGTACGCCAGTGTTTCCGAGTGTATTTTTTTTCAACCTCGAACATTTTGACTTGAATCCTGCCTCGTAATTATTTTCAACTGGGGCTTCTCGGAGTGAGGAAAGCTGTCGGTGTGAGAAAAATCAGCGCTCTTAAAGGGAAGCCAAAAACGTGCTTATTTTTCTCCTTTGCCCTCCCCAGGCGGCATTGCCGGTGGTATCGAGATCTGCATTACATTCCCCACGGAGTATGTGAAAACCCAGCTTCAGTTGGACGAGAAAGCGAACCCTCCACGCTACAAAGGCATCGGTAAGTCCGCGGGACTAGCAGCGGCCGGACCTCTCTCGGCGCCCGTCAAGTGGCTGTTCCCTTTGCGCTATCCCCAGAAAAAGGAAAGAAACAAACAAACAAAAATAACAATCAGTGATAGTGATCGGTTTGATGACACTGAGAGTAGCTGCTAGAACAGGCTCTTTGCCTGAGCAACAGAACCTTCAAAGGGGCAACCGGGCCATTAACATAAAAGCAGTCATTGTGGGCACCAGGGAGTTGACTCCTGCCCCTCCATCTTTGGGGCCGTGCCCCCACATAGTCTTTCATTGCTGTGTCCAGGACGCCTTGCAAGTCCTGAGCAACAGGACCTTCAAAGGGGCAACTGGGCCATTAACATAAAAGCAGTCATTATGGGCACCAGGGAGTTGACTCCTAACCCTCCGTCTTTGGGGCCGGACCCCACATAGTCTCTCATTGCTGTGTCCAGGACGCCTTGCAAGTGGGCTAGTAGGCGTGGGGTGGCACCACAACAGTGCATGGTCTCGTGGTCCCCGGACGCGGGGGGGGGGCAAAGGCTCCTTCTTCGTCGCTCGTTCTTGGCACCTGGCTTAGCCCCGGTGGACCTGGGGGGCTTCATGAGCTGCTCCACCCAGAAGCCGGTCTTGGGGGTTGTGTCTGCGGATCGCTCCCCCCCGTCCAGCCTACTATTTCTCCAGTAACGGCGGCGCCTCTGAGGCCTCGCACCCCTCCCAGTTCATGGCACCCCCACCCAACAGTCCTGTCCCGTCTCTGTCTCTCTCTTCCTGAAGTCTAGCCCCACCATGGCCACACCTGGGGCCGCAAGGGCATCATCCGCCTCCCCCTGCCAATGCCCCAGTCCATAGGTGAGCTGCAGGTAGAGGATCCAACGGTTGCTGTCTGAGAGGTGGAGGGCCCACTCTCGCCACCGTGGAGACACCCCCCCAGCAGCACAAGTTAAGGGAAGTCCTAGGTTTTGCAGGTGGAGGGCTTGTGTGAACCAACACGGAAGCTGGCCTTGTTGGGCCCTTCCCAAGATGTCCTGCTGCCGATACTTGGAGTAGAGATGTGGAGATGCTTGTTTTCGAGGTACAGCTCCCAGAACTCACTGGTAGCATGGCTGTTGGGGGAATTCTGGGGAGTGTAGTCCAGAAAACCTAAATCTGCACACCTCTGACCTGGTGTTTCCTGCATCGACTGCTGCTCTTCTGAACTTTGTCCTGTTGCTCTTTGCAGCGGATTGGGCCCAAACACACAAGGTGTGCAAACGAAACACAGCAGTGGTAGGTAGTTTCTTGCTCAAGGGCTTTTCAGAAGCATCTGGTCGCTTCCTGGGTAAACAGGAAACTGGTGTCGAGAGACATTTGATCCACCACAGCTCTTCTTACGTTCTCATTTACCAATCACATAAGGCAGCATATATGTCTCCCTCCGTATCATCTTCACAAGAACCTTGTGAGATTGTTTCAAGAGCATGAGCGTCTTGTGGCTAAGCATGGGATTTTTAGATCTTTTTTCAGGACAGCTACCAAACTCAGCAAGAGTCCCCCAGCTAGAATCTTGGTTGTTTTCACCAAACCCCCCCCACAAAACACCAAATTGTCAGAGGAGGTTCAGGATTTGACCCATTCCTTGTCAAAGCTGTCTTTCCAACCAGGTCCGTTAAAATGGAGAAGGGCATGGATGGTGCTTTTTAAGCTTCGTGGTAACTTCAGAGCATTTGGGCAGCGACAGTTTTTTTTGAGAGGCACCTTCTCTATGGGACCTAATGAACGGAGAGATTACCGGCTCCTAGTGCTTTGCAGTTCCCATGGAGCTTAGAAACCTCCACTTATGTGCTTCTCCATGCTTTAATTTCTGTCTCTGTAGAGAAAGCCTAGACAAGGAACAAGGGAGGAATCTGAAGCTCTTCTGAGAACTTGGAATTTGTTTTGGCTAAAACTAATGGGATTCCTGCTAAATCCTGGTAATTGTAGGAGGGGAAAAATCCAAGAATCCCATGCTTAGTCATGGCTGTACAGTGGTGCCCCGCATAGCGATGTTAATCCATTCCAGGATTAATGTCGCTATACGGATTCGTCGCTATGCAGGGGGGAAACCCCATAGGAATGCATTAAACTCACCGCTATGCGGGGAATCCTCCATCTGGCCGCCATTTTCACCACCCAGTAAGCGAGGGCAGGGCGCAAAAATGCTGCGGGCAGCCATTTTGTTGACACAGCGGCCATTTTGGAACCGCCGATCAGCTGTTTCAAAACATTGCAATGCGATGTTTTGCCTATTAAAACATTGCCTATTAAAACATCGTAATGCGATCGCATTAGCGATCGCAAAAAACGCGTCGCTATGCGGATTCGTCATTAAACGGTGTGCTCGTTAAGCGAGGCACCACTGTACTAAACTCGCCATTTGTGGCACATGTCTCTGGTGATTTGGACCTGGGCTTTTTCTGGTCCCTGGGACTCGAGACTACTGCATCACCCACAGGTCCAACTTGAGGATCGTTCCCAAAGACCCTCCTACACATACAGAGCTTCTTCCTTCCCAGAGATCCACCCCTTTCGCCCTCTCAGAAGGACATTTGTTGTTACGTGCTGTACTGTTGCTCTTCTGAGTCCGACTGATTCCCCCCATTGCCTTGTGTCTGGACTTTCCTCTCTTGTCACGCACCAGGGCAGGCAGCAAGACAAGAGGAAGGCAGAATGGGATCTTGTGCGCATTAGACAGTGGCTGGTGATTCATAGCGTAGCTCGACGGTTGCCCGGCTGAATCAGTAAAGAGGGTGGCTGGGTTCCAGAAAAGCTGAACCGGCTCCCCTTGTAACTGGCTGCCAATTTTGTACGCTGTGCCCTGGCAGCCTTCTTTGCTGTGGGACTCCAACATTTACCCCGCAGCGTTTATTTTTAGGCCTTCAGCATAGTGATGGCACTGGTAGCTGATGCAGGAGAGGGCAGGATGTGACAAAACAGGGTACAGTGAACAGCGGAGTACCCGCATTGGAACCAGGCTCGAAGGAAGCCGTTTCCAGCGCATAATGTTCCCGTGGCGTTCTGATGCACGGCTGCTGATGCATGGGCTGTCTTCTCCCTCTTCAGCGGCCTCTGAGGTGATCAAAAATTAACTACTCTTTAACGGCAGAGAGGATACTGTGCAGTTTCCTTCGGCAGGAGGCAAACCTTTAGCTCTGCCCATGGATTGACGCAGGAGAGGCCTCTGGGCGCCAACAGAGGTGCTGCCCTAGTTGGCAGTTTACCAGAGAGGTGGAGCAGTGCGGTGGTTAGAGCAAGGGTGAAGAAAACACATCCCTCCAGATGTTTTGTGGATTACAGATCCCAGCATGCCTCACCCACTAGGCAGAGGCGACGGGAGCCACAATCAGCAACGTCTGGAGGGCTAAACCTTTGGCTTGGAGGAGCTTCCATATCCTCAGCTTTTCCTTGCCAAGGCTCTCTCCGCAGTGAGAGCCGGAAAAGCATGAAGAAAGAAACGGGTGGAGATTTCTAAGCTCCATGGGAGCTGCAAAGCATTAGGGGACAGTGGTCTCTCTGTTTATTAGGCCTGGTAGAGGCATAACACCTGGAGTGGTGTACCTTGACTTCTAATATCCTTGGATTAAAGTGTGGGACTGGGACCTTTGCTGATCCAGATTTTAGTCCTCACAGAGGCGCGCAGCCCCTGGGTGACCTTGACCTGGTAATTTCTCTCCATCTCACCCACGTCATAGGGTTGTTGAGAGTAAGAGAGCCAGATATGCTCCTTTAAATCCGTGATGACCGTGAGAAAACTAAACGCAACTATTGCAGAAAAGAATAAATAAAAGCAAGCTGCTCTCAAGCTGCAAAGGGCCAGTTACTTGGCATTGTATCTGGATTATTCCAGTTAGAATTCTTTGCTTACGTGATCCAAGATCATCTACTTTGTTTGGCAATCGGACTCCAGAGTTTTAGGCCATAATTTTCCCCATCGTCTCTTGCCTTGATACTTTTACGTGAAGGTAGTGCTCTAAAACTGGGATATTTTGGAAGGCAAAGATCGTCTTGAACTAATAATAATAATAATTTATTGTCATTGTAAGTGTATACACATACAATGAAATTCACAGACATCCAGAGACCAGACACATGCACACACATACAATCCCCCAAACACTCCCCACCCACTAAAAGTCCCCCACTAAAAATACAAACATCTACACCGCAGGCCAAGTAACACAGTCCCACTAATTATTCACTGCTGGTGGTCTTTAAGCTCATTATTAATTGCAATTATAGCTCTGGGATAAAAACTATTGACAAAACGTGTGGTCCGAGTCTTAATTGTTCTATATCTTCTGCCAGACGGTAACAGTTCAAAAAAGTTATAAGCAGGATGGGAAGAGTCTCTCAGGATGCTGGGTGACTTCCTCAGACAGCGGGATGTGAAGATCTCATCCAGGGTTGGTAGCTGGAGCCCGATGATATTCTGGGCAATTTTAATGGTTCTCTGTAGAGCTTTTTTGTCCGCTACAGAGCTACTCCCAAACCATGCCAGAATGCCATAGGTTAGGACACTCTCAATGGTGCTACGATAGTAGGACAGAAGTAAATGCTGAGATAAATTTAACTTGCCGAGCATTCTCAGGAAATACAGCCTCTTCTGTGCCTTCTTTATTAGCATGTTGGCATTTATAGTCCATGAGAGGTCCTCTGAGATGTAAGTACCCAGAAATTTAAAACTACCAACTCTCTCCACTTCCTCACCGTTTATGTACAGTGGTAAATGTACATTTCTCTTCCTCCTAAAATCCTAAAACTACTGAGCTGTGGTCAATCATCTGCCAACTCTTAGGCAACATTCTCCTGAGAAATGAAACCGTTTGGTTTATTTAGTCTTGCATTATCAAGTCTGACCGCTCAGAGCTCTCTGGGTCCAACAATCTGATTTTTTTTTAAAGCTAGAAATGGAAATGCTGCTTCCCACCCACCTCTGGATGACTAGTAACAACAAAACAAGAGCAGGTGATACCTTTATTAGACAACTCATTGGAACATCTTTCTCTAAGAACGTCATCCCATGGGACCCAGTCCTTGTAGACCACGCTCTTACGGGTTGCTACACCAAGAATGACTGGGAAGACGTTGAGTAGAAATCGAACCTGCTCAGTGGTGGCCCCATCCTTATGGAACGTCCTGGCTCCCTTCTCCCAGCCTTTAAGAGACTGCTGAAAATTAGGGTTTTTTTTAAACAGAAGCCTTCAGGGACATCTTTTAAATTTTGTTACATTTGTGCTGCCTCTCTAACCATAGTTTGGTTTTGCTTTGCTTTGGTTTGGCTTTTATATTGCTTTGTTGATTATATTTTGATTTTTTAAATGTCCTGTCTGCTATTGTTACGTTACTGTATATTGTTTTGTTTCCATTGCTTCAGTTGTAAACCACAATTGCTCAGTACTAATCCGGGGATACACAAGTATAATAAACCAAGCAAGAAAGCAAGGAAGTAGACAGCTAGCTTTTGATGATAAGTCATCTTCTTCAGGCTGTGCACCAAGATTTTGTGGGTAATTCAATAAATTATCTATTAAGAGTCCCAAAAGTTTCCTGGCTGTTGGAAATGATGTGTACATTATAATGGAAACTGATGTCTTAGTCCATAAACTGGAACTTTTTGAGTGCAAAATGAACCAGAATGGGATCATTACCACTGTTTTTTTTTGTGGGAAGCTGCAAGTGATGTTGTCTGTGTACCTCCCCTTGTAAGGGAGAACTGTCTGTAGATTTAGAGAACCCCAAGGTTTGCAGGAGGACATGAAATGTGGCGATAGGGGGGATATTAAAAGGTGGAAAGTCCTCCAAAGTGGCTGGATAATGAATGAGCATGTTTTATGGCCATGCTGCCTGATGAGGGAATAGAAAGAAAGAAAGAAAGAAAGAAAGAAAGAAAGAAAGAAAGAAGCTGGAGGAGAAATGCGATTGAAATTATCTTGAAGGGGGCACACCGAGCTGTCTGCTGTTCTGAACATGAATATTTCAGTATTGTGAGTCAGATTCCACTTGCAAATGTCTAGTTATCCTTAAAGAGGTAATCCTCTCCATCGTATATTTGCTCTCTCTCTTCCTCAGCGGACTGTGTGAAGGTGACTGTCCGAGACCATGGGATCAAAGGTCTTTATCGAGGCCTCAGTTCGCTGGTGTATGGCTCAATACCAAAGGCTGCTGTGAGGTAATAACTGTGTTTAATCACTTTAAAAAAATCCACCAAATCTCTTTTACTCACTCAGAAAGTGTTTTAGGAATGCTGAACTCAGGATTTAGCAGAAAAACACTAATGTAGATGGCTCACAATTTGATATATAAATAAATATTAATGGAATAATAAGTAGCTGGCTGGATAGATAGCTCAGTGGTTTCGGTATCGTCTGCGAAGCCCAAGGTTAGGGGTTCGATTCCCTTTTGTGCCTTCTGGGAGAAGAGCCAGCCTGGGTAGCCTTGGGCAAGCTGCCCAGTCCCAGGGCGACCCCTAGAGGAAGGGAATGGTAAACCACTTCTGTGTATTCTCTACTTGGAAAACCGTAAGTCAGAATTGACTTTATGGCAGATGATTAGTATTATTAATGGAGAGCTCACAATAGACTGCCAGGGGATTATAGTCAGGAGAGGAAAACAGGTGAGATGTCAAACAAAGCCAGGGGGGGAGAGGGCTGCTGTTGCTTAAGTTCCCTCAGAAAAAATAAATTTCCGATTAATAACACAGAGGAAAAAGATACATTTTTTAAAAAAATGACCACTGCCAGAACCACTGACCAGCACGATCAGTGGTTATATTGGGTGGGGTGTTCTGGGAGTCACTGCTTCAATAAAGTAACTTTCCAAGCTTCTGAAGCAACGCAATTAGAGCCTCAGCTCTAACGAGGAGATCTGGGTCAATCCCCGTTTGCTGAAAGGTTGGCACAAGACATTTTGCCGCCCGAGACAGAGAAGCAAACGGTGCTTCCTCCATTTGCTTTTCAGCACCTGAGGAAGAAAACCCCTTAAATATCTCTTTACCGCCCTTATCAGGAAACTGTACAATGACAGCTGGAATTCTCTTGTCGTTTGTATAAAGTTATGTCACTTCTCACTGATAATTGCAACTTAACGGATAAGGTGTTGTGCCACATCTTGGCCGTGCAATTAAGCATGTGACCAGGCAAACCACTAAGATTCATTCCAGCACTTTATCAATTGCTCACAATTAGCTTCAGGAAGTTATCCAAGCCTTACACCAATATCAGTAGGATTTTGGGCATTATCTTATTGCTGAGTCTTGGGGGCCAATTGCTACATGTTAACACGGTGCGGCCCAGTATGATGCAGCCAATAGAATGATGGGCCTAGGAGACCTGAATTCAAATCCCTACTCAGTCATGGAAACTTACCGGGAACAGAACAAAACCACTCCTTAAATGTCTCACTTACCTTGAAAGGCCTGTTAGAGTTGCAGTACTTGACGGCATATAACATGGGGCTTTGGAATGATAAAAAACCATAGTTTTAAGAGCTGACTTTCCTAGCTTTTTCAGGGACGTGGTGGCGCTGCGGGTTAAACCGCAGAAGCCTCTGTGCTGCAAGGTCAGAAGATCAGCCGTCATAAGATCTAATCCACGCGACGGAGTGAGCTCCCATCACTTGTCCAAGCTCCTGCCCACCTAGCAGTTCGAAAGCATGTAAAAAATGCGAATCGATAAATAGCTACCACCGCGGTGGGAAGGTCACGGCGTTCCATGTCTAGTTGCGTTGGCCACGTGACCACGGAAACTGTCTACGGACAAAACGCTGGCTCTACGGCTTGGAAACTTGGATGGGCACCACCCCCTAGAGTCGGACACGACTGGACAAATTGTCAAGGGGACCATTTACCTTTACCTTTTACCTTCCTAGCTTTGCATTGGGTGTGCTTGGTTTTTTTCTTCTCTTTGGAAAAAAAACACATTCCGTTCTTCTCCTTTACATGGGCTGCTTCTCTTCCCGTGCCAGGTTTGGGATGTTTGAGTTCCTCAGCAACCACATGAGAGATGCAGAAGGGAAGCTGGACAGCACCAGGGGCCTCCTGGCCGGTTTGGGAGCCGGCGTGGCGGAAGCGGTGGTTGTGGTGTGTCCGATGGAAACGATCAAGGTAAAAATACACACACCCCTCCAGATGGGTGGTCTGCCAGCTTGCTGCTGAAACCCCTGGCCTTGGTTTTTTCCCCTGAATTATTATTGGAATGGGAGATGCTAGGAGTTCTATCCCTGAAATATGCCACCTCCTCCCAAATATATTCAGATCTGTTTTCATTTTTAAGGCATCTTGGTTTAACAGAGCTATTTCACGTGTTGTTCGTATGCTGATTTTTAATGGTTCCGTTTTGTGTTGTTTTAATGGGAGGGTGGGATGAAAATGTGATAAATACTTTCTGTGCACTAAGTGAGATAAATACGTGGTATCGTGGCTAGAGCCTTTGGAGGCTTGACTTCTAATCTCCATGGAGATGAAAGCCATGGAGTGATCTTTGGTCCGTCCCTGGCTGTAAAACAAGGGTGGTTGTGATATAATAGAAGGAAGGACACGTATGCCACCTGGAGCTCAGTGGAAGAAGGGCAGTCATTCAACTGAATGAAGATGTAGCCTTCCAGATGTTTTTGGGCTATGCTCACCAAGATCTGTGCGGAGGACTGGATGGGGTTTAAGGGCAACATGGGAAATGTTATACATCCTTAGAACATTGGTTGCATTAAAGGGACAGATTCAGTCTCCAGATAAGGCCTGCCTCGAGCCTGAACCCTTGTTCTCTGTCCTAGACCTCTCACTGTGTTTTGGACTATACAGTGGTGCCTCGCTTAACGAGCGCACCGTAGAACGCCGAAATTGCATAGCGATGAGGTATTTGCGATCGCAAATGCGATCGCATACCGATGGCCCCTGTGGGCAAAACTCTCATTGCTTACCGAGGGTGCGAAAATGGCTGCCGGACCCTGGAAACATCACTGAACGGTGAGTTTTTTGCCCATTTGGAACGTTCCAATGGGCTTCCCTGTTCCGTACAGCGATGTTTTCACATAGCGAGGGTTAATCCGGAATAGATTAACCTCGCTATGCAAGGCACCACTGTATCTCCCATCATTCTAGTCAACATGGCTGTGTCTTGGGCTCTTATTATTTATTTATGTATTTATGTGTGCATAGTTTATTATACGATCATAGACCCGAAAATACAAAGATAAAAGCATTATATAAGATATACAGAATAAGTAAGTTGTTAGAACATATCAGAGGTATAAAACTTGAATCATGTGGTTTATTTATTTATTTATTTCAAATATTTATATGCCACCTGGCTTACAGAATTAAAACAAAGTTAAAAGTTAAACAATAAATTATTGCAGTATTTAAAAAGCATTCAATAGATATATTAAAACATAATATTATATTGCTCTTATGTGATTTATAAGAGCAATCTTAAACACACAAATAAGGAAACAGAATAAAATGATCCCTTAAAAAAAACCTTGGTGCAACCAGGCATTTAAAGGAAAGCTTGCTTAAAGAGAAAGGTTTTCACCTGGTTGCAGGAGGAGAGCCAAGATGGGGCCAGCCTGGCTTCCAGTGGGAGGGAGTTCCAGAGTCTGGGAGCAGCCACAGAGAAGGCCCTCTGGGAAAGAACAGGAGCTGGCAGATTCCAGAGAGGAGGCTGTGTTCTTAGTCTGTGCCACTGTTAAGAAAGAGGCTGTTGCGTTACAAGGGTTTTGTCCCCTGAGATAATACTTGTCAGGGTTTGGAATTTTGTATGTGTGAGGTGTTGGAGAAAGGGAGGAGAGAGCCAGGGACAGAAAAAGCAGCTCTGAGAAAAGACAATGAGTTTAAAATTCCAAGGTAAAAATAGTTTATTACAGCAAAGAATCACATGAAGTCAGCTCTGCAGGCAACTAAGTCACAGAAAAGTAAAAACACCTTTGAATGTTATTTACATCTTGGTGGCATTTGTAGGTCTTACAGTACACCCTTACTGGTGAACATAATAATTTAATAATGTATTAGACCTCTTCTTGTTATATGGCATCAAGTTGCCTCTGACTTATGGCGACTTCATGAGTGATCTCCAAAATGTTTTCAATGGCCCTGCTGGGTTCCTGTGAACTGGTCTGTGGTTTCTTTTAGGTAGTCAGTTCATCTCGTATTTGGTTTTCCTCCTTTCCTGCTGCCTTCCACCTATCCCATTATTATCGTCCAGAGAATTCTGTTTTCTCATGATTGGCCCAAAGTAGGACACCCTCAGTTTCAACATTTTTATCTCCAGAGATAGTTCAGGCTTGATTTGATCTGGGATCCACTTGTTTATTTTTCTGGCAGTCCAGCGCATCCACAGAACTCTCCTCCAGCACCACATGTCAAATGAATCGATATTTTTTTCCCTGACACCTTTCTTAACTGTCCTGCTTTCACAGCCATTAGAACTTTTTAGTCTGATTAATTGAAAGGCTTAGAGATTCAGGCTCTTGGGGGGGTCACATTATCTGTGATTCTGGTAGTCATAACAAAATTGGAGGCTCGTCAGTTGGCAGACCTTTAGAGCTACCGAAGGCAAACTCCCAGAGGTGTCATTAACAGCTTGGCTCAGGTCATGCAAACTAAAGGCAGTGGCTTCCTTTCTGAGTTAATCCATTTCATGTCCAGATTTCCTCTTTTACTACTGACTTCATCTTCTCCTAAGGATTATGCAGAATTATTTCCTAGGCTGCCAGTCTCCTAGGAGGAAGAAGAGGAGAATTCTACTAAGCAGATTAAGGAGTGGAAGACCCTTTTCTCCGACCTCCAACAGCCTGTGTAGAAATCCAGGAACAGTCTAATTAAAAAAAGAATCTACACTTTGACTTTGGAAGGCTGATAAAGTTACCGGGGAGGGAGGGAGGAACACCCTGTCAAGGAGAACAGGAGAAGAGATGGAATGGAGTAAGCCTCTGGAATACGGAAGACCAGTTCTCCATACTGCAACATTTTGTTGCAGGTGCCACTGGTTCCACTGTTAGCCATTACGACACGTAGCAGTTGGAAGACCAATGCTCTTAAAATGATCAGGCAGAGACTGTTTATAGATGTTTCCATTTTCTCTTAAAAATGCAAGAACTGCCTAGTAGCAGTTGGAAGACCAACTGATCAGGCAGAGACTGTATATAGATGTTTGCATTTTCTCTTAAAAATGCAAGAACTGCCTTATATCAAAACAGATCAATGCTTCTGCCCAGGTCACAGGGTCGTCTGGCTTGGAGTCTATGCTAGCTTTTCAAACTGGGCATACCGGGGTTTAGACGAGGGACCTTCGGTCTGCAAAGTTCAGTGTTCTGTCTTCAGAACTCTGAGCCTTCCAGCCTTTTAATTGAAATCCTTCTGACCTGGCTCATCAATTCTCTCGTGTTCTTCCTCCGCAGGTTAAGTTTATCCATGACCAGTGCTCCCCGAAGCCAAAGTATCGAGGTTTCTTCCATGGAGTGCGGGAGATTGTTCGGGAACAAGGTGAGAGCAGGAGATCGGTGGTTGTGAGCCACTGACTTTTTCTTCCTGGAAGGATGCCTTGATGCTTCTCTAATTTGGAAATTAGCCATGGCATCTGCGCCAGAAGCGAAAGGAAGGAGACGTTCCTCTGTTGCTCCAGGGTGCAGGACTAGATGTAATTGGTGGACATTTATTTAAAACACCGTGTTTTTCCGTGTATAAGACGCCCCCATGTATAAGACGCCCCTCCCACGTTTCTAACCCAACATTAAGAACTCTTAAGTGAGGCTTAGCAAGTGTAGGGGGAAAGGGATCAAAGCGCTGCAGGATCGCTTTGATCCCTGCTTTCCCCTCCACTTGTGTTTGTTCTCTCCACAGCTTACTTCTGTGTATAAGATGACCCTCAATTTTTACTCTAATGATTTTAGACAAAAATATAGTCTTATACACGGAAAAATATGGTATTTTTTTAAAAAACTCTGCCTTTCTCCTTAAAAAGGACCCAAGGGGGCTTACGTTATTAAAAGACAACATTTAAAGCTAAAAGCATGCAGATACTAGAAAGGATCGAACATCAAAAACATTAAAAAGCAAAAAGGCACAATGATTTATTTGAAAATCCCAGTCAGCCCTCAGAGAAAGCCTGCCCAAAGAGAAAGGTTTTTTTTCTTTGTTAGAGGAAGGACAGCAAAGACTTGGCCTCTTGTGGGAGGGAGTTCCAAAGTTTGGGGGCAGCCACAGAGAGGACCCTCTCCCGTGTCCCTGCCGTACACAGCTGGGAGGGTGGTGGGGCCAAGACAGAAGGCCTCCCCCATGAGATACGGCAAGGAGACAAGTTTTGACTGAATGATGAGGGGAACTTCCCCATGGCAGGCGCTGTTGGGCTGTCTTGGCTGCTTGTTAAGTTATACTTCACGGGAAGTAAACAGCAGAAGTCCGTTTGCCATCTGTCAGGATTGCTGTAGTTACCAGGCCTGCCTCTGTAAATCCTGCATTGATTAGGGAGTTAGGTTGGATTCTGTTCTATTCCATCCATCCATCCATCCATCCATCCATCCATCCTTCCTTCCTTCCTTCCTTCCTTCCTTCCTTCCTTCCTTCCTTCTCTCTCTCTCTCTCTCTCTCTCTCTCTTTCCCTCCCT